AAGAAATAGGAAAGCTAAGAGTTTGGAGAAAGGCAAAAATCAAATACTGTTACGAAAAGGTATAAAGCTCTAGGGAAAGTGCATTTTGGAAGACAGCTTAGTTTCTGGTACCCTTGACCCACATTTAGTCTTCCTTTTTGTTGGTGTCTTTCAAAAAAAGGGATGGTGCTATTTAGTTTGCAGGTTCAATTTGTAAATATAGAGTCATGAAAATCATTGGTTCTTTTCCTAAGGAGGCACTTTCTCATTATGAAGACAAGGGCCCTATAGATTTATTTCAAGTTTTTGAGGCTTTTGGCTTAATTTCATTATACTCTTCCACCTAAAAATGCTATTAGAGAAAGGTACAACTGAAAAAAAGATGTAGAGAGAGCAAAAGATAAACAATGGACAATCTATGTGCTTATTGGTTACCACATAGTGGTTAGAGAATGAAAGGAACTTTGGATGTCCCCACTCTGATGTGTTTATGAGAGGACATAGATAGGATGGGTAGAAATGTATGGGTTGCAGTTTAAATCACTGAAAGGAATACCTCCACTGATGAGAGAGCATAGATTTATTGGAATATCATGATACAGAGGCCCTCTTGCTTTATCTGCCCCTCTTTCATAGAATGATATTCTCTCCATATTCAGCTTGTCCTTCCATAACCTCCCCAACATCTGCAGTGAGCTCACTGCAGCAAAAATCAGTCAGAGGTCCAGTCAGTTATGAGCCAGCAGAGACTGGGAAAAGCACTAAACTCTAGGAATTCTAGTTTACAGAGGATCCCAAGTTCCATGCCTCATGATATGAGAGAGGCATGAAATTAGAATTCCCAAATCCTTTATCTAGTGATTGGCCCAACTGGATGCATGAATCAAACATCAGCCAGGAGCTTTGTTGTATTGTCCATACTTCCTACCCCACTGAGAGGAGGCCAGGGCAAGGAGAGAGAAGCAAAATAAAACTAGTCATTTCCTAGAACCCCTGGGTCCGAAGCAACTTCTGCATCATCTGGAGACTGCTGAGGTATAGAAGAGTCGGCAGGTGGGTGCTTCCAAGTGAAAGATGTTTTTGTAATATATTGCTTTTTTCTATTATATATTGTTTATTTGCTTTTATTAATTCTAAACCAAGAATAAAAATATGAATTTAAGCATGATTTATCTATTCACTTGGAGAGTTTGATCCATCAAGGCAAAGTCATATGACTAGGGCTCCTTGAAATATAATACACTCAAGGAAGAGGCTGGGTTTGCCAAAGGTAGGGGCCCTTGATTGGATAAATCTAAAACAATCCACTCCCCCTAGATAAGAAGTCAGTGCTTCCCTGCAGAGAAAAGTTGAGCTGAGATATAGAAGGTCATCCAGTCTGTGAAAACCACAGAGAGCTTGGCATTTCCTCTGGACTATTGCCCAGCTGGGTGGATGCAGATAATCCCCAGGGTGAAAGTGGAATTTCTTAGGGCCAGATACTTCTTTGGTGGACAGAATCAGATGAGAAAATATCAGGACCACATGGTGGTTCAAAGACTATTGGCATTAGCTTTGGACTTGGTAGCCAAAAGACTTGATCCTGAGTCTCAGTTCTGTTACTTACCAGCTATGTAATGATGGGGAACCCAGACAATCTGAGCCTCGTTTTCTCATCTATGAAATGAGGATTATAATAATATATACTACCTACTTCAGAAGTTGTGAGGAAAACACTTTTGGAAAAGCTGAAAATAGCATATGCATATGAACTGTTATTATTATTGTTAGTAGTAGTGATAATATAATTATAGATATTACATATTACATATTATAATATACCATGTCAAATATAAACCTAATCATTGGCAATAATTAATAATAATAACATTGCCTTCATTTTCTCTGGTTAACTATTCTTCTTTATCCTACTCTCCAATTTCTTTGAGCAACAAAGAATTGGAGTTGCTTATTCTCTCTTGATGAAGGATCTTAAAATTTTTGCTTCATAATTAAAAGTAGCTTCTAGAGAATACAGAACTTAGTTTCTGGGTTTGGGTCATATTAAATAATTGGTCAGATTCTGTTTTCTTTTATCAAGACTGAAAAAGCTCAAGTTGGGCATTCAGATATAGATTAGGATTTACAAAATATAAATAATATTTAGGATTTTCATGACCTATGGGATGACCTATGGTCTTTGACATGGCACCATATTGCCCTTTGCCCATTGAAAAGGACTTGGTAGTATTGTTTAGTATAAGTCTCCTGTTAAGCCAATAGATCCAAATGGATAGGATTGGGGCAATTATAGGTGGTTGACCTAAATGGTCTGCAGATTATCAGCCTCATGATTCTTTTTTTTTTTTTTTGGGCTAGGCAATGGGGTTAAGTGACTTGCCCAGGGTCACACACCTAGTAAGTGTCAAGTGTCTGAGGGCGAATTTGAACTCAGGTCCTCCTGAATCCAGGGCCGGTGCTCTATCCACTGTGCCACCTACCTAGCCCTTTCATGATTCTTAAATGAGAAATAAGATATTTTATGGAAGATAATGGAAAAGTAGGGATGGACAGTACCTTCCCTATTCCCATCAGCTGATGACTTAACTGAGGAAAATACTGAATGGAGAAGAGATCAGATTTCTGGTTAAAAAACAAATCTGAAACTCCAGAGTAAAAACATTGATGCTTTAGGTAACAGGCCTTCTTCCTCCCACCCTCAACTCTGTTTCCAGTGCAAATGAGCCCCAGTTCCCAAGAGGCCCCACACAACCACTTTTTCAGCAGCTTCAGCATCTTTAGGTATCAGGATGAAGACTGTTGAAATTGCATTTTCCTGGGATTTTCCTGCTGGAGAGAATAAATCACTTTACTTAGCAAAAATAAACAAACAAATAAATAACACAGCAGGGCCAAAGGAGCCCCCATGGATCCAACCAATTCCATTAATCCAGTCCATAGAGAGTTAGGCAGAACTTAGCACTTCAAAACTCTCTCTTCCCAAACTCTATCAGGCTCTTGGTTTTACTCCAAGAGATAAAAGCTCAGCTCTGGGGTAGGAGAAACTGTTTTAAAATGATATTTTTGGTATTCTACCTATCAAATCCCTACACTGTGGCTCTCTTTTCTTCCCAAGGAAAAGCTTTGTGGTGATTAATAAATTATATTCAATTGGAAAGTTTCATGAAAGGCTCAAAGTGAAGGTGGAGAGCTTTTCACAATAATAAGCTAGTTATTGCATTCTGGGAAATAATTCAAGTGATAAGCTACTGGAGGGCAAAACATATTGCCTGGTTCCATTTTTATATAGCACCTAGTAGAAAGAAATATGCATAGAAGGCTTAGTGGAGGGTTTATTTTAATGATGAAATCCCATTCTCTCTGTGATCACTAGCTATTTTTCCCAAAGAAGGTTGTGCTATCCTGATGATGATCTAAAAACTCCTAGCACATTCTCTATTTTCTCCAGAGCCTACAGTTTCATCTGCCCTCTATCTGGAGCCCGTAAAGGCCTGACTTCCCAACTGCTGGATGTCAGTCACTCCTGCTTTTCTTCCCAGCCAGCTTTCTCCAAACAACTCCCCCAACTATGGCCTCTCCCATGATTTTCCAGCACTTTAGCTTGCAATACCTTCATTTACTTCCATAACTTTTAAAAAGTTTACATGAAACAGAAAAGACAAGGCATGTGTTAGCTTGGCATTATCTTCATTACTATCAAATCGCCAGTATTTTGAACATCACAAATATGGCAAGTCACACGCACGCACGCGCGCGCACACACACACACACACACACATACATCCTGAAATTCTCTGAGGATCACTGAAAACTGAGATTGTAGTGAGAAGACGATAAAGAAGGAAAATAGTACTTTTAATATAATTTTCACCAAACTTACAGTATGTATTATTTCACATTGCATATTTCTAAACTGCTCATCTGGAAAATATAAGCTGCAAAAATACAGAATATCACACTCAAACTCTATTGAGCATGTGCTTTTTCTTCATTGAGTTGAACTGCGTGATTTTTATCCCCTTTTATTAAATCACGCTTTGATTTATTTTGGAAGAGCTGTTTGAGCTCTCAGTCATCCATAGCCAGCCAAGAAAACAGTTTCCTGATGTACTTTAGCAACATTCTCATGAGAACCAAAGGACGGGGGTGCAGAGGAGTGTCATATACAAGTGCGTATCACACTGGATCAGAGTTATCCTGGAGTAATTGTTGGTTTGAGGAAGTAAATGTAGAGAAATCTTGCCAAGATCTCCCAACCAGGAGTTCTGTACAGCTCTTCACAGGCCTGTGCTTGAAGTTTAGATTAGGACAAGAGAAACCTCATAGAGTACTCAATGATTGGGTAAGCTACAGGGGAAACCCTTGGGTGTGTGATCATATTATTATGAATGAATGAAAAAGAATATATTAAGTGCTTACTCTGTGCCAAGCCCTGTGCTAAGTACTGGGGATACAAATACAAAAGCAGAGTTAATTTTTGCCCCTAAGGAGGTTACATTCTAATTGAGAAGATAACATATATAGGATAGTGGTAGAAAAGGAAGGGTTGGTTGGTTTTGAAAGTTGTAAGAGTGGTGATTGGAGATATAAGGGAGTAGTATTATGAGAAAAAAAAGTTGGTATGGAGAATGGCAAAATGATCTTCGTAAGATGAGGGGGAGGAGGAAGAGGAGGAGACAGTTTTATGTCTATAGACCAGGTCATTAACTTCTAATGAAGGAGTCTTTTGATGGAAAACATGATACAAATTTGCTTTCCTTCCTTCTCTCCCTCAGGAGACTGGTACTTTGGGCCTCAAAGGGGTGAGGAGGGAAGAAAGAATGAGAAGGAAGATCAGTCATTCTTGGTTCATTTTTTTTGTCTGACTTATTAGCCAGACTAATGGGTCTCTGTCTGCACTTGAGTATGCTCTAATGGAGCTCTGACCTCTCTGATTCTCCTCAAGGGAGCTGGATCCTGAGCCTCAAAGGAGAAGTTGAAGCCTAAGTACCTCTCGGATGGCCAAAACTCTCTGGAAAAGAAAAAGGAAAAACATATTTCTGAACATATTTATGTCAAGATCCAGCAGTATGAGTTTATTCTATATACCCCAGTTATTGCTAGGAATTAGTATATATTTGCGGCATAAACTTATGCCTCCCAGTTCTTATTCTGTGCCAATCACCTGTGAAAATCTTTGAGTCATAGGATTAGTATTATATGTTATATATGACATAGATAGCCTAGCTAGAAGATATGACAGACATCTATCATAAGATGTAGGTAAGTGACAGAAATACACACATACACACACACACACACACACACACACACACACACACACACACTTTTACTCCTTGAAGGCCTCTTCTCTCTCCCAGCATCTTGGACCTAGTCTCTGTTTTCCTCAATCCACACTGCCAGGTGAGCAAAGCAGCCTCCTTTCTGGCACAAAAATTTTCAGCCCTGATTCCAGTGTAAAAGAAGGTTGCTGTGGTTTCTTTTAAACTGGCACTAAGAATCCAGTTGCAGTCTCATTGATTATTTATAAGCTGCTCTTATCTCACTGACTATGGCGTGCCACATTTATGTTTAATGCTAGGTGCTGAATGGGGTTAGGAAGGTTGCAGCTCTTTTATTTTTTCCTTTTTGGACTTTGTCCCAGTGATACAAAAGATGCCATTGAATGGGAGAAATGGTATTCTTTATAGCTGAGTTCTTCCCTGGGAAGGAAAAAACACATTAGTTTTGGGTAAAGGGCAGAAACGTTTTTCTCCCCAACCCTACTGAAAGACTCAAGCTGTCTAAAACCTTTGAATTTGTTTGGGGAGTAGGGGAGTGGGACAAGGAAATGGAAAGGATTGATATGGATGGGTTCTTGAAGATAATATAATTGTTGTCAGGATAAACATGCCAAAGAGTGATGAGAAAATTGGGAAACATATCAACTTCTGAGAATATACTGAGGGTCTTAAAGTTTGGCAAGATTTGATTAAAATTTTTTTGATGCTTATTAAATTCTGGACATTTCTCCTTCCCCCAAGAAAATTTTACAAAAGGATCCTCTTTCCACCAATCATCCCGAGAAACACTCTTCCCACATACCCTGGTGGGGGGTGTCTCTTTTTGTGGGCTTTTCATGCCCTATGATAATTTCTTAGATGCTAATTGCCTCTCTGGAAAGACTTTCCTGCAAGGGAGGAGAAGAGATAATTGAAACTGAAGCTCAGAATTAGATCCTGCTAGGATGGAATCATGACTGGCAGGTCTCCTGCACTCCATAGCATCAGAAATGACACATTCATACATTCAACTGCTTTCATTAAGAAGGGTTGAAACAGAACATAGTTCAGTCGGGTTTTTCTTCTATTGGAGATGCTCCACATGGCACAATTCCAATACATCTTATGGCACTAGGAATAAAAATAAAAGTGAATTGATTATGACAAATTTACCTTCATGCAGATCTCTTTTTATTTTGTCAGGTAAGTATGAATTTCCTTCACTCAAATTCTATCATGCTTCACTGAGGCACAGAGGTGATCCTGGGCTCTCAAAGCAAAGGTCATGCTAATAGAGTATAAGCTCTGGAAGGGTTTATTAAGCTAAAAAGAACATGGAGTGACTCCCTGGGTGACTACTGTTAAGTCATTTGATCATTCTGAGTCTCAGTGTTCTTATCTACAAAACTATGGGATTCTGGTAGTGGTCAAATAGGTAACAATCTGCAAAAATGGTAGAAAAACTCACACTGATGAAATCATGGACATTTGAAATAATGAAGTACAGTCAGTTGTGTTGGAACCAGCTGTATTGGCTCAGAGGAGCCAATTGTTAAATTTTTAGTGTGAACATTATCATCTTGGAAATTGGCAAAAGGTATTAGTCAAGGCTTGGATTATTGTTTTGTTGATGGTCTAGACTTGAGAAAATAATGGTAAAAATGTTAATAATGCAGGCTAAACTTAAAAATGGGAGCTGCATTTTCAGATGAGGATACTTGTGCATGCGTAGACTCCAATAAATTGGCTCTGTACTATAGCCAAATATTCCAAACTGTACTACATTTGCTTCTAGCAAAATATAAGATAGCTATTTTTTTTTACCTCTTGCCAAATTGTGCAAAATCTGTAACAAAAGTACTATAATAATTTCTCAACATTTTGTTGACCTTAGAGTCATTATGAAACTAGGACTGTACATCATATCAGGGCAATTTTGTTTCAATACTTGCAGTCTGAAAGCAGAGATCAGTCTTATACCAATCCCATATCTAATCTCCACATTTAAGCCTTCAGGTAAAAGCCAAGCTCCCTCTGTTATCAATATTCATTCATACTGGGGAAAGGTGGCTGCACCAGGAGCTTAAAAATAACATAGGAAAAATAATAGTATCTGATAGTTTCTTAACATGACTCATAAACCAATCTGGTACCATATGCAAATACATATGGACAGGAAGGTCTAGTGGAAAGAATGCTGGACCTGGAGGAGAGACTCTGCGCTCTAATCCTATCTCTGCTGTTTACTAGTAGTGTCACTATGGACCAATCACTTAATTTTCCAGATCCTCAGTTTCCTTATCTGTAAAATGGGAATAATACCTGTGATACTTACCTCACAGATTTGCTATTAGGATTAAATTCATGGAAAGCACTTTGATACATAAATATTAGTTATGTTTGTCAATGGCCATGGTACTTTCAAAATTGGTAAGCATTTATCAACAGTTTTTTTGACTTTTAATTCTGTTTCCCTGAGATGAACACTTTTCCTGCAACCCCAATGACTCAGAATGCTATGATCAGGGAAGTCCCAGACAGTGATAATATTCAACTTCCCAGGATTCTCCCTGATGATATGCCTCAGTTGTGCTCTGTAAAGGGTCATCTTGTGGCATGTTGCCCGTAATGCTTTTCGTTAAGGGACTTTTTTTTTTGGCAAGGCAATTTGGGGTTAAGTGACTTGCCCAGGGTCACATAGCTAGTAAGTGTCAAGTGTCTGGTCTGAGACTGGATTTGAACTCAGGTCCTCCTGACCCCAGGGCAGGTGCTCTATCCACTGAGCCACCTAGCTGTCCCACTAAGGGACTTTCTCTTGAGGTAGCCAACACAAACAGTCCCAGCTATGGTAGTGGTTGTGGTTGTGGATGCATCCAATTCATGTCTAGTAATGCAGACTCATTCCATGTTGGACACCATGCAAATTTCTAGTGACGATGATTGGTGGAAAGGGACGAAAAGAGGCTTTATACATCAGTGTTTTCAGAGGCCAATGTTTTTGGTCATACATAAACATTGTTTAGCTTTCAAAGGACTCAGCTATGTCTATCGTTATGTACTCCTACATTACTCAAGGTTAACAGATTTGGTCTTCTCCCTTTCTTATTCTCCTTTATCTGTCTCTTCACTAAAGATTTTTCATTACGCAAGAAGAAAAGAATGGGATTATATAGTGATGATCCTCTTGCACTAGTTTTTGCTTTGGTTCAGGGAGGGGCAGTTAACATTCTTGGCTTCTCCTTAGAATCTCTTCTAGGTGAAAAAAATGATTTAACTAAAACTACACCAGGACCCCCATTATAACATGAATCAGATGGATCTGAATAAACTACAAATTAAGTTGCATTTCCTGAAGCATATTAATCACATCACAAAATTCTACAACAACATGGTTAGTTGGGATGAAGAGGATGTTCATTCTGTCCTTAAATACCAACATTATCAAGGGTTCTGTTCTATGGGACACCCCCTACACCTGTGGATTCTTTAATACAGGTTTGCACCTATACTCGATCCCCAAGCAGTACCTCTGCCCCCTAGGCCAGAGTGGTTTCACCTAGGCCAGGGTGAAGAGCCACTTTCTAAGATAAGTAAGTTGACCATGGTCTGTGGCTGGGTGGCACCAAACAAGACTGATTCTCTATATTTTTCCCCTTGACATATTAGTAGAAGTGAGCAGCAGGGTTCTTAAAGAAGATAACAGCTGAAGTGGGCAAAATGAATTAAAATGTTGTTCAACATATTCCACCAAATGGAGATTCATTTGAGTTCACTTCCTTTTGAGGAGTGAGCTTTATTTCAGAGACTTTCTGGTTATTCACAATAGGGGCACCAATTGTTTTAAAAAGATCAACGGCAGTTAGGTGGTGCATAAGTGGCATCATAGATACAGTACTAGGCTCTAGGCTTAGAGTCAGGAAGATCTGAGTTCAAATCCTGCTTCAGACACTTGCTAGCTGTGTGATCATAAGGAATTCATTCAACCTCATTCAGCAGGTACAGAATGAGGGCGTTATACTTTCAATGGTCTTTCAAGCTCTAAATCAGGGGTTTTAATCTGAGGTCCATAAACTCCAGGGGGACTATGGATTGATTTCAGGATGTCCACGAACTTGGATGGAAATATATGTGTGTGTATTTATTATACATTACATGTATAACATATAAATATATATTTATTCATTTTACAGTTCATTTTGCAGCTGAGAAACCTGGGGCAAACAGGGTTAAGTGACTTGCCAGGGTCTGAGTAAGTGTCTGAGGTCAGATTTGAACTCATGAAGATGAGTCTTCCTGATTCCAAGCCTGTGTTATATCCGCTGTACCACCTTGCTGCCCACATATATGTATATGCATGTAATACATACATATGTATGTATGTATGCTTTGGTTTCCTTTGTTACTTCATGTTTTTTATTTCATGCATTTAAGAACATTATTCTGAAGAGGGGATCATAGGCTTCACCAGACTGCCAATGGGATCTATGGCACAAAAAAAGTTAAGAACCCTGTTCTAAATCTATGATCCTGTGTTACTGAGCTGCCTAATTAATAGGACATTTTGGAGTGTTCTTGGGGATGAAAGGTAGGAGAAAAGAAGGAAATGAAGTGAGGACACTTGAAGAATGCTACGTGCCATATAAACTAGAATTTTCTCCCCTTGGGGATCCTTTGCTCTCATAACAAGTCAAATCAACAAGCATTTGCTAAGTACCTACTCTGTGCCACGTGCTGTGCTAAGTGCTAGGAACACAAAGAAAAGCAAAAACAAAAACAAAACAAGAATAAAACAAGAACAACCCCCCCCCCCAAAACCTTTGTCCCTGCCCTCAAGGAGTTCAGTCTAATCTTTGTCTTCACCTTTATTATGGTGAATGTCTCTGGAATGTCTTCTCATATTCTGAGGCCTTTACTAAAAGTTCTTAGTCTATGTTATAAAATTAACTCTCTTGGCCAAGCTAAATACAGTAGCTACCTCTCCTCAACACTTGACGTTTTCTGAGTGTTTGAATTGCTTCTAACATAAGGTGAATAGCCCCAGGTTTAGAAAAGTGACCTGTGAGAGGAAACAAATAAAGGCCAAGCCGGACAATGGGAGTATCTCGGAGGCAATGCTCTTCAGCCTCTGTATTCTCTTCAGACAAGTGGATTTCTGAGTCCATTGAAGACAGGATGAAACCAGAGTTAGAACAAGGCAGAGGACATTTTCCTTCATTGTTAAGTTGTCACTCATTCTGCTGAGCTAAAGGAAAGTAAGACTTGGTTTTCTGGAAGAAAAGACAGAACCTGACCTGTGGTGCCCATTGTCTCTAGTTTAACTACGGAAGAGCAGCTGTGGTTTATTCCACAAGGGAGTCATTATTGCTTAATATTCCTGAGGTATTCTCTGAGGGCTCCATTCACAAAGCAATGGTCTACTTGAATACAGTATACTATGTCTGCAATGGTGAAATAAAGAAAACTGTAATCTGACGGAAACAGAGCAAAAGTAAACATGGAGATTTGTCTGGAAAGCCTGTATTAAAAGGAGCAATACCATCTTCCCCACAAAAGGGAACTCTATGAGATATTTAAGCAAAGATTCTTTCATTTTAAGGGTTCCCCTAACTCTGATATATCCGATAGCTATCCAGCATACTCAGTTATGGGAAATATTAATTACCAACTACAGAAGAATTTGTCTCCTGGACAAACTCTACAGTAATCTGTCATTGGTAGTATACATTTGTTGCTGTTGTATGTGTGCGCTCACGTGTGCTTGCACACGTGTATAGGTCCATTGTGGATTGAAGTCCATTAATATTAGACTGGTTCAGTATAACTGACCTAGGACTCAAGAAAGAAACATTTGTGAAATGATGTGTCAGTATAAAAGTTTCAGGAAAAGAAAGAGGAAGGGCAGGAGGAAGAGGAAGAAAAGGAAAAAGAGAAGCAGGGTGGTTGGAAGACAGAGTATCATGGGGCCTTAATACCCAGTAAAAATCTTTTCTCTATATAGTGCTTTAAAGTTTATAAAGTGAGATATATATGTATGTATATATATGTGTGTGTGATATATGTATATGTACATATATATGTATATGTACATATATGTATATATACATATAAAATCTCTTTTGATCTTAGATGACTTGATCTCCCTTTTATTATTTTGTCTATTAAACCCTATTAACAAACTCCTTGGGGGAGGGGGTTAGGGAATGCTTTAGGGAAGCTGTGTTTCCCTTTTTCATTAACTCTTTTCTGAGTTTTCTTCAGGCCCTTTAGAGTGGCAGGCTCCTCAGCATGCAATACCACCCTACTTTTTTAAAATGGTGAAGAAAATGATAAGGTTTTGGGTTCTCACTGATTTTGGGGAACTAAAGGTGAAGGGATTCTCCTTTCTCTAGGGAAAAAAGAATTCTAAGATATTATTTTTTCCCAATATTTTGTGAATGATTTCTAGAAGGGCATACCTTTCTGGGTGATAGTACATTAGGACAATGGTTAAAAGCTCTTGGTCTTTAGGTAGCATTAAAAGCCTATCAAAATTCCAACAGGGAAAGGGTGAATTATCTATCCCCAGACATTTTATAGTTAAGTGACTTAACCTGCCAAATAGGAGATGAGGTTCTAAGAAAAGAAGACAAAAATTGTGAGCACTCCATTTCTAGGAGGATTTCTGTCGCCATGTTTTTCTCTTCCATTGTAATGGCTGTAAAGGCCATTGGAAATCAGACTAGAAGCATCCTTTCTCACACTCAAACATTAACATCAGTTACAAACAAAGAGTTGGCTATGGCAGTGTTTCCCCTAAGTACAAAAAGAAAGCCAGAAAAGGGTTGGCTTTTCCCTTCACTAAGCACCAGAATTCAATTTTCAAAACAACATTTCTAGAGCCTTCTTTGTAAGATGGAGCTTTTGACTGTCCATTCAATGACTGATAAAGCACAGTTCTTGAGTTGCTTTCTGTTTGTCTAGTACTATTCCAGTGTTGATATTCTCACATATTCGAGAATCTTCAGAAAAAATTCAAATGGCCAATGGTTTTACAGGTTTTGAAAAAGAAATAAATGGCTTCTGGAAAGGCTAAATACCTGGGTCTTGATAATTCTGCCCACATATGGAACAACGAACAGGTCAATCAGTGATCTACCAACAATATATTTTCAAAATGAAAATATAAAGCAAAACAAAACACCACCCTGTATAGAAAAATAGCATAACTAACAACCATATGTATTTTTAGACTGGCTATAAAATTATCACCCCTATCAATTAGGTAATTGATGGATGAGTATGTATATTTTAATCGATGAGGCTATGCCAAAATTAAATAGATTCAAGAACTATTTTTCAAAAAAAATCATCTCCCAGGCAACCGACCACAACACTAACTACACAATCCCCTTTCTCTTTGCTTGATGATTTTCTATGGTTCTGTACTCGGAATCAAATCTCCTCATTTACTGTGGTTGTTGAGTATTTGGCACAGTGTCCTTTTCCTTTAGGATTTTCTTTTCCTTGCTGTTTAACCCCGAGTGTGAACTATGAATGCATGAGTGAGGTAAAATAAGCCTTTGGGGACAACTCTGGGCCAAGTCCATAGGAATGCCACATTTGAAACCAACTCAGCAAACAAGTATGGAGAGCAGATTAATAGGCCCACTGGCTGTGGAAGTGTGTGTGTGTGTGTGTGTGTGTGTACTTGCACATGTGTGTATGCCCAATGTCTCTCTCCCACAGACTTGCCCACAAAAGCTTAGTCTTCTGCCAGCAAGAGGTTTTTCAGGGGATCCTTATTCCAAACAATGAGAAGTTCCCCCTTTAACTGTTTGAAGTTCAGTCACTTTCAAAATACATGGACAAAAGCCTCTTAAATTGGGGACTGACCTTGAACACATTGTTGACATTTTAATCCATTGGAAAGGGCTTTCAGTATTTTGTGGGAAGATTCATTAAAGTGGGGCACCCCGGCTGTTCAACAGCTCATGCTTGTGAATAATAGTCTAAGATGTATTTTTCATTTCCCATTTCCTTTCATTAAAAAATGTGACATACACATGTGTATACAGATACCCACGAACACCACCTCAGTGAGCTTCTACAGACTGCAAATAATACTTTTAAAATGTAGTTGTGAATATAAAGGGGGCTTCTTCATGACAGCAAGCATGGAGATTAAAGAGAAAAGGCAAGTTTGCATTTCATTACCTTCTCCCCTGTTGTCCCAATTATGGTTCTTTTTAAAGAGAGACTCCATCCATTCTCTCTGAAGATTTTTTTTTTTTGGTAACATGTATTTTCTTACTGGCTTTGTAGTGTATCAGAATGAAGATAAAAGGATAAAAATTACAATAGATTAATCGCATCCCTTGAATCACATTATATTTTTGGTGCATTAAAAAGAAAAAAAAAGTAAAGCGACCAGCATATAATAAAGTCCTCTTATAGAATTCTGTTAGTGACTGAAAGGTTAACATAGCTTTTGGAAATAGTTAAAAATAGTATTAGAGATTATACATACAACTGTTTGAAATCCATACCCATTTAAAAATGGCAAAATGTTTGGCAAATGTAAGCAAATGACTTGTACTAAATTTGGGTCTCCATGGCTCTGAGCGCAGCAGCCAGTCATAGCCACAGATAAGGCCCAGCACATCCTGAGGTCTGTGAGGCTTGGAAGAAGGTGAATACTTTTCACCTTCTGGATGTGTAGATAGGGGACTGATGAGCCCTACATCCTCCAACACACACACTCCACTCTCCCCTCACTCTCTCAGTTTTCTAACTTTTGAACATGGAAATATGGCTGGTGAGGGGTGTCATTTATTGATTCCAGCACGGACCACCCAATAACATCGCTGAGAGAACTCTGGGGCCTGGAACAACATGGAGACTGGGTGAGTTGTCTACACAGTGACCCATACTGCAAAGGTTAGAGAGGAGCAGATCTCTCACCCCCCTCTTCTCTTGCTCCCTCCCTGCCCCATATTGGAGGAAGAGGTGGCATAGAGTGTCACTAGTGCTTATTCTGGAAATGTTGTCAACTTTTTTTTTTAATAAGATGATAGGTTTTTATGTCCAAAAATGTCCATTTGCTGAACTGGCCACCATCATTCCCTGTTGCTTGGAGCTGATGGCATTTCTAGAGACCACATTTGAACCTTCAAAGGGTTGCCACCAAGGCCCTGGTGGCATTTCCTGCCTTGCTCCCGAAGAATGTCAAGTGCATGATCCCATATATCTCATTATTCTGAATCCTGTCTGGCTATGATTTTGAGAAAAGGACAAAAGTGGTTGTTGTTGTTGTTGTGTGTGTATGTTTCCATTTTTTAAAACTTTATTTTAATTTTTTTTAAGAAAAAGGACCCTTTGTTTACTAATATAGTTTGTCCTTCCTTAGTCACTATAAAACAGATTCCATGTTTTCACACCACTCGTGATCTTCCAGGTTATAGATAAATTTTGTCCTATGTGACTGGTTTGGGGCCACAGGGTCCCTCCCTAGATTGTCTAGGGTCAGAGTAGAGGCAAAGAACTCACTCGTGCTGAGCCCACCCTCGTGGTTTTTGATGTATCGTTTATAGTTTTTCCTCAGGCACTGCCACGTTGTGGTGTAAAGGATGAACGCAAAAGATTTGAGGGCAATCGCGATGCTGACGTACAGGTATCTGTACACCACGTTGTCATAGAGGGCACAGGCACCCTGCTCGCCACAGAATGTGCTCCAGAACAGGCAGGTGGAGTCAATGCCTGCCCCGAAGATCAAGGGAGGAGGGATGAAGCCTGGAAGAGGGAAAAAGACACTCAGTACTTGGCTCTGTCAGTTTGTTCTTCATTGTCCACTTTTTCCAGTGATCTTTCAGAGGGCAGACCTGATCCCCCTACTCGTGGGTTAATGAAGGGAATAGTTTTCTTTTTCTCATTGGTCAGCATTAAATCTAGGGGCTCAAGGTGGGGCAGGAAAGATGCTTTCTTACCAATTTTAATTAGGTCAGCAGAACTCCCCATGGTCCTGCAGTCAAGATGCTGTCAGTACTCTCCCTTAGCACTCCCTTTTCAGAGGCTTGTTACCACAGTCAAGGACCCTGAAAAAGTAGTTCTATTGGAAAGCCTCATTAAACCTCTGAAACAATGTGATTTAATAAATGTACAAGTTTGAAGTCCTGCCTAACCTATTTCGCCTTTGCTGCTGCAAGGTTGGGTTATTTTCAGACGTAAAAATCTTAAATTCATGGCATCCTCTCCATTCCTAACAAGCAGTCTTAAGACTTTCTACCCCCTTCCAGGATAACAACTACTTTGACGGCCACTGAAATGTACCTAGCTCAGAGGAGGGCCGCTACAACTATTTACACAATGATTCTCCAGTGTCTTCTAGGCAAAGAAATGGAAATCCCAACTGATTTAAATGAGGGATGGTGCATAGGGTAGGTGGTATTGTTAACAAAGTCTATTCCTCTGGAGAGCCAAGAGGAGTTAAATCCTTCCAGGGACCTATTTAGACCCCATGACTTTCCTCCTGTTGTCTACCCTGTGGTTAGTCCATTGTTTATGAGTATTGGGCAGTGGGGAGGTGGAGCTGAGTTAGTATTGTATCAAACTGTAAGTAATCAACTGACAAGAAGTTTGGGGAGGATTTGAAAGTACAGGTTTCCCTAGCTTTACATATGTATCCCTGAAAAAAAAAACAGTCCAGTAAACAGAATTGTATTTTAGTACATCAACATTAGAAATACACTTGGAATCCTGCATTGAATCCAGGCCCTGCAGATCCTTCATTCTTTCCTTCTTTGATCTGATGTCTTTGAGAAAGAGAGGGGCCTTCTCCGTGCTAAGGCTAACCTAACCCTTCTATTGGTGCTCTCTTATCTCTTCTGGAAGTTTTTCTCCTTAATCATTCCCTCTCTCGTTTTTAACCTTTCTTTATCCACCCATTCCTTCCCTATCCACATACAAATGTGCCAATTAATCACCAATTGATCAATTAGTTCTCTCCCTCCTCCATTAGTAATCAACAAGTATTCATTAAACACAGTATCCCAGACACAATTCTAGTTTGGATACAAATAAAAAGAATCAAACAATACCCACTGTCAATGAGTTTACCTTCACTTGCCACTGCCATCCCTTCCAGGACATTACTTGTTCTTTTTATTCTCCCTTTCACAGCCAAATTCCTAGTAAGGGTCACCTGTACTTTTTGCATTCACTTCCTCACCTCTTACTCACTCTTCAACCAGATGCAGCTTGTCTTCTAACCAGATCACTCAACCTAAACTGTATTATCTAACTTATAAATCCAAAGGCTTTTTCTTAGTCCTCCTTTTACTTGACTATTCTTCAGCTTTAGACACTGTTGATCACTTTACTTTTCCTTCTCCTAATCTGGATAATCTTCCCCTCCTTGGTTTCATTGGCACTACTTTCTCTTGGCTTTCCTTTTACTTTTATGACCATTCTATTGCTTTTCAGCTTCAATCATAAGCTCCTTCTCTATCTCCTGCCTATTAAGTGTAGGCATCTGACAAGACTCAGTCCTGGGGCCTCTTCTCACTCCTTGATATACTTTTATTCCTGAGTTCAACATCCCTGAGTTCAATGATTATCTCTATGCACTCCAAAATCCATATATCCATCCCTAATCCATTCCTGTATGTCTCTTCTGAATTATAGTTCAACATTACCAACTGGCCCATGTTGGATGGCTCTTTCTGGACAGCTCATCAAATCTCAAACTCTATATATCTCAAACAGATCTCATTTTTTCTCCCTCCCTCATTTAACCTATCCTATATTGAAGGGAATACCATCCTTAAAATCAGCCAGTTTCACAGTCCTGGAACTTTCCCTCAACTTCTATGTTTAATCAGTTGCCAAATCTTGTTGACCCCAATTCCATATTATCTCTGGCATCTTTCCTTCTCTCCATTCAAAGGGCTACTTCCCTAATTCAGATTTTAATTGTTTTTTCTCCTAATTACTACAACAACTCCTTAAATGGCATCCCTGCTTCCAGTCTCTTTCCTGTCCAACCCATCCTCCACAGTTTCCAACTTGATATTCCTAAAACACAGATCTGACCATGTCAGTCCCCTACTCAAACATCTTTAATGGCTCCTCTATTGCCTCTAGGATAAATGATAAATGTATCAGTCTGGCATTTTAAAAACTATTAGAAAATCTAGCTTTCACATACTTTTTATTCCCTGTTTTCCATTCCAGTTAAACTGACTTGCTAGCTCTTTCTCACACATGATATTCCATCTACCACTTTGCACAGTGGTCTTCCAAGTTGAGAATATACTCCTTCCTCACAAAATTCATGGCTTCCTTCAAAGCACAACTCTGGCACCACCTCTTACATATGTCCTTTCCTGAAACTCTCAGCTGTAAGAATTTTTCTCTAATTTCCCCTTAGTTATTTATTTTTGCATTTACTTGCTTGTGCCCACGTTACATGAAGCTCGAAGAATGGAAGCTCCTTGAGGTCTGGGACCATTTATTTTGGTTTTTGTATCCTCAGCAGCTAACACAATGCCTTCCATTTAGTAGCAGTTTAATAAATATCTGTTGAACTTTGTTTGAATTGATGGGAGGTGGAGGTAGTGATCCTAGGGAGCCCTAAGGTTGAGGAGAAGCTAGATGATAGAAGATAGGCAAAGTGGGTGAGCTGCATTTCTGTTTCTGCTCTTATCTCCAGTGCCCTGGCTATGCCCTCTGTTACCTTGGGGGAAGAGCAAGGGAACACTGTAGGGATATAATATGGTCTTTGAGAGCTTTGGGTAGTGGGAACAGAGTCGCTCCACTAGAGCTTATTATAACTGCTCTTTTCTTTCCTTCTTCTGGCTTTCTCACAACTCCTGCATGGTCACTTGAGATTCCCCCCTCTAACATCTGCCATGAGGCTCCAGTAACAAGTAAACATTAAGTATCATTCTATCACAGCAGCTCTCTTACTGAAGACAAATACATTGGGGGCAACGCTATAAGGGCACCCTCCAGTTCCATGTTATTACAGTGAATATTAAAAGGATTAAATCTTGCCTCTTGTTACAGACGAGTCCAAATTGCTGCTACATGCATTTCGCTGCAGAAATTGCAGTCCTGTTTAAGGAAATTGTCTCTGTTTTCCTGAAAATCCATTAACTTAGACTATACCAGGTTTCCTACCTTGGCTATTTAATGTACTCCACTGGTTGAAAGGGCTGTGCCTATTTATATTCTTAAGCCTAAACTTTCAGCTGAACTGAAATGCTTTTGTAAGAAAAATAAATTCAAAATCATTTACAGAATAGATATGGAGTCTGAAAATTACATTGACATTTACATTTGAAAAGACACCCATTCCTCTCCTGTTCACCTGCCAAGCTTACAGGATTCTGCATTCATGCTGTCAGGACTGCTGATGTAACCAGCACATGCGACAGATTGGGGATGCCTGAACACAGACTCTTCTTAAGTAATTAGTGAGGATTCCTGTTCTCCCAGCGTCAAGGAAGATACTTAGCTTTGAGGTATATTGGCATCTTCCGATGTACAACTAAGAATTTTTTTTCATTTCAAGAAAGATTTATTGAGCATCTATCACACAACCTAGCTTTTACTATACATAATGTGTGGTGTGTGAAAAAAAATGGTCTCAGTTTTTAATTGCCAAGCTAAAATCTCTCTGTAGTCCTCCCTGAGTGTAGCCAGGTAAGACTTGGTGTTAACGAGGTTGTAGATTTAAATATCATATAGCCCAGTTAGGATTTGTTTTCTCTATTTCATCATTACAGACTATATTCTCAGATCTAACCAGACACAGCCCACAAATCCAAAGCACTGGTCACAAGGGAACGTTGCAAGAGAGTGGTAATTAGTTAGTTGAAAATTATTGCTAATACAGGTTCATCAGCAGTGAGAGAGTCCCAGATCTGTTCCTAAGTAGCTGTGCAACCTTGGTAAAGTAATTTTACCTCTCTGGACCTCAGTTTCCTCATCTGTCAAATGAATAATTAGATTAGATAATTTTCTGCCTTGAACATATTATGCTTCTAGGACTAATTATGGTGGAAAAGGATGACATTTAAAAAAAAAACACCGAGAAACTCATTCCCAGATGATATGGATATAGAGTTGTCAGGAAGAGAAAATCAAGGGGCCTGATTCAAACATAATATTTCCCCAGAGCAGCTTTGACCAAAGTAATCATGACCGAGTGTCTTTTTGCTCCTAGGCAAAGAGCAATGATTCTTGCTGATGAAATAAGCTCATGCCTTACATGTGTATAATGTTTATGGTTTTCAGAGCACATTATCTCATCTGATCCTGACAACAGTACTCTGAGGTGGACAGAGCCAGTATTATTTTCTTCATTTTACAGATGAGAAAATGAAGGCTCAGAGAAGATGAAGTGATTATGTGTCTGATGCCACATGATTAACAAGTGGTTTAGTTGAGAAACGAACCCAGATCTTTTGATTACTCACTCAAATGCACTTCCCACTATGGCATGGTGAAGTGATGTTTTAAGAAATGATATCTCTCTTAATTTATTCTTTTTTGGCTCTGTGGGGGCTTACCCTGTAGGGCCACTAAAATAGCTGTGGGTGGAAGCTGAGTTGGGTAGAAGAGCCTAGCTAAATGAAAACTAGATATATGGCATTAAACCATGGGCCTGAGGACCCTTTCATGGGATCGCCTTGTTGATTGAATCTTAACCTCAATTCAGATAATCAGGGAATTGTCAATATGCGTTAGGCCTCAGAAGCTAAAAGATCAATCTGCCAGTCAGTCCACAAGCTTTCATTAAGGGGCTACTATGTGTCAGGCCCTATGTTAGAAGCTGGAGTTACAGACAAAAATGAAACAGACTGTCCTCAAAGAGCTTATATTCTACCAGAGAAGACAAGTGTTACATCCATAAGCATAGGAACATGCAGGACAAATACAAATCATTGAGGGGAGGGGCAATATAAGCTGGGAGAGAGAAGGGTCAGGAAAAATCTCTAGTAGAAATTGGCTCTTAAGCTGATCTATGAAGGAAAGTAGGCATTCTAAGTGGGGAGGTATGGAGGGAGACATGCAAAGGCATGGAAATGGGATGGATCTAATTTTAGGGTAGAAACATAAATTCTGCTTTGAAGAGAGTAAAAATTATTCTGAATTGACTGTCCTTCTGTCTGCAATTCTCCATCTTCTTAGTGCTCTAACATCATTAACAAGGTTTAATATATCCTATTCCAGGAACAAATACAATTAAGTCAAAAGTAAAGGTTTCACAGGCAAATTTGGTAGATGATGCAGATGCATGGGTAATTAACTTCTCAAGCAGTCATATATGCAGTGAAGGCCCTAGGTTATAATAATAACAACAACAATAACAATTTATATTTCCTTGAAAAATTAACTGTTTTCAGTCTGTAGTTCCTAAAATTTGAGCTAATTTCTCAGAAATTCTTTTAAAATATTCTCACTATTTGATATAAAAATCATACAGCATAATAAAGGATTAAGTATTTTATACCACCTGTAGAGATAGCCTGAATCCTAAAATAATTTCATAGACTAGAATAGTTTCTATACAAAGCCATAAAGTCATAAAATATTACAGAGGGAAAGGAAATTAGAGGTTACCTAGTCCAAATAGCTCTGAGGGAATGGGGGTTGGGGTTAGGGGAGTGGGAGGCCAAGCAGTTGGGTTAAGGGAAATTGGGAGCACTTGTGATTTTCTGTAAGGATGTGTAAGGTCATGTGAGTAGAATGTAGTTTTTATTTACTCCAAAGTTTTCCTTCAGATGTGAGCTACACTTCCTGGTACTGAGAACTTTTTCATAAACTTTGCTATGGTTTTGGCCCTCTCTTCTCTCCACACACTAATGGAGGCCAAAGGGAGAGATGCAATGAAGTCTCAGAAAAATGTTTATTCATGCTCTCTCTAAAAACTGTCCTTAGCTCTATATGTACCTTTCCACTAATCTTCCATTTAAAAGAAAAAGAGAAAATCCATCAAAGCAAACTGTTTGCCTCTTACTCAAGCATGAAAAGTCATAGCTTCTCTGGATTTGGCCCAATCCTCACATTTGACAAAGAAGTTTAAATAATGCAGCTGGGATGTGGTAGAACGAACACTGGAGGAGGAGTCAGGAGACTTAGTTTCTGGTATTAGCACTGATACTAAGAAGCTGTGTAATTGTGTAAGGCTCTAACTGTGTAAATGATTTAACTTCCCTAGATTTCAGTTTTTCAGCTGAAAAAAATTAGCGAGTTGGACCAGATGATCACTAAGATCCTTTCTAGCTTTGATAGGCTAATGGTTCTCTGAGATGGGCTATGGTGGAACAGAGAGCTTTATATAAAGCATTAAGCCAGCCAGAAGTCCTTAGAAGTCCTTGGGGAAGAACCAAAAGTAGAGAATGTGGATTTGGGAAATTAAAAAAGATGCAAAGTTTCCATTTGTGCAGCAATATGAGACAGACTGCCTCTTTCCACTGGAAGACCCGTAAAACAAATCATTCACAAACTGCTCAAATTTTAATAATGGTCGTGTTAAGTTGGAGGGTTGCTTTCTTTTACCCCTTTGCACAAGTAAGGTGGAACAGCAACAGAGAAGATGGGTTTTATTAACCTGAGAATCTTCTCTTCACCAATTGAATGAAAATTTTAGGGTCACGATTTTGTCAATTTTTTAGGGTCAAAAATTGGGGTCAAGATAGTTAGGGAGGGGGCCAAATAGGTCCAGTCTCTGGGTCTGGTCTCCAGACACAAAGTCTGTGTTGTGGGAGAGCACTGGTAAATAGAAATTAAACTTCACAGAGAAAAGCAAATGAGCAATAAACTTTATGAAGACTGACTTGTTTGAGAATAAACATTCATTTCATTAATAAGGGAATAGAGGTTTATACCTACCCAGTAAACGAAGGAGCAGGAATAGAACCCCCAAAGCATAAGACTTGAGTTCAGGGCTGACTGTCCTAAATAGAAAGAGGTGAAGGGGACAAAAAAGAAAAGATTCTGATCATACCACTTTAAATTAACAGACTCCACAGTTGTGCACTGCTGTCAATCACAATAGTTCTCTAGCAAATCATTAATAGTCTATTTATTATTATTATTATTATTTTTACTTTCCCTGCCTAGAGTCTGAATAATAACTATGACTGCAGCTACATGATAAGTTCAGGAATTTAATGGTGTCCTTAATAACAGCAGCTAATCTTGTCATTCGAAGTTAAGAAATGCAAATTCTTTCCCACTCAATTTTCATTTAGAGAAATTCTGCATATGTTCAGGCAGAGAGGCATTTCTACTTGGTGGGGCACTGTGTGCCAAAAATAACACAATTTGGGAACATCTTTCCTGTTAAGCTCTGTAAGAAACAAGACTGAACTATTAAAGCAGAAGGGTCTTCGAAGGTAAATGAACAATTTGTGATCTTTAGGTTATGTTGGTATACGAACCACGTTAGCGAAGGAACTATTCTTGGAGTCTAAAGATGTGGATTCTAGTCCCAGCTGGGATGCTTACTAGCTATGTGACCTTGGGCAAATCTGTTTATTTCTTTGGGCCTCAGTTTCTTTATTTTTCAAATGGGGTATAATAACTTCTGCCTTGCTTTGACAAACTATATAAATGATGAGGGTGGTGGTGGTGGCAGTGAAGAGGAAGTTTTGATTATATTTTATCAATTATAAATTTTTAAAAAGTTGCAAAAGTTGGTGAACAGAAGGTTAATCTATAACACACTTTCAACTGATTGACTGAAGCAATATTTTTAAAAGACTCAACATTTTCTTTTAATAGTTGTTAGTCCCTTAAAAGTCTCCTTGGTAGCAACCTCTTCATCAATATGTTTGTCATGAAACACCATCAAGGTAAAAGTAGTAGAATGTGGCTTTAAAAGACTTTGTCTTGATCTTTTATCATTTTCCAATGAAAACTTGAAAACTCAGTCAAAAATTTTAATGAAATTTCCTTCCATCTCTAAAGACATGTCTAATTATTAATATTCATTGCAAGATTTGGTTAAAGCAGACACAGTATTTGACCTTCTGGTAATTTAGACTCAACAGACCTGTATTTATGCTTCCACATTAGATTCTGGTATTTCTGGGTAGTAATCTGCTCTATGACTTTCAAAATTGTGAATCTGTGTGAATTGTAGGTCTTTCATTAACTGTACTTGTCAAAAATTTGAACTTTGCAGTCGTATGTAGTAGCCACAAAAGGCAATGTAAATTAGTAGCTAGGGAGATAGCCTTTAAGCTCTGAGACTTTGGTTGAAATTCGGCCTCTGACACAAACTGTGTGATCCTGGTCAAGTCACTTTCCATCTCAAATGCTGACCTGCATTGGTAGAAGGAGCTCCTCATTTGGGAGATCCCTCCACAAATGAAATAACAAGAACATTTACTAGTCCCTAATCTATGAAGTAATCATAGAGACAAAGGCAAGGGCTCCCTAACACAAATAGCTATATCACTGCCAACAATATACTACATTTCATTTCTTTTTAGATACTATAAATGCAAAGGAGAAAAATGAAAAAAGTACTAATGTCTCATTTGATACCCTCCTGGAAGAGAGGCACTTCTAGTAGGAAATTCATCGTGAACTCAGTTATGAGCCAATAAAGGGACTTGTTCGAATTTATTGAAAGCACTAGCCTACTCCTCAAACTTTCTCAGTGCCTTTCTGAAAGAGGTTGCTATTGGTTGTACAAGAGTGGCTGACACCCTGGGGCAATGTAGGGTATAGGGTATACCTGTACCTATCTACAGATGGCATAGTGTGCTTTCTGCCTGCCTTGAACATCTGTGACTAGAAATAGAACTTGGGAGCTTGATTGAATAAAGTATTCCCTCCCCCTCCCTGCCCCCCATATCCATATGCCCATTGTGAGAATACCTCCAGCAGGCACGTGTGAAGCATGGAATTATTTGAATTGGAAAAGCCTCAGCTTAGGTCATTCAGTCCATCTGTTGCTTTTTTTTTTTAAAGGAATCTAATATTTCCAGACCATCTCCAAGAAATACTTGTCAAACTGTGCCCATAAAGTGATTGAAATCTCACCACTCTATATTTAATTCCTGAGTCAATCTTTTGATCCTAAGGCCCTGAATTTCATTTTTTCCTATTTTGGGGGGAGGGTTGAGGGAAGCAGAGATTGGGGAGAGGCATAGAGTATATGAATAATATGGTGGCATACTCACTTATAAATGGGAGAAGTTTGTCTCATGAAACAAGATTTTCTTATACTCAACGTTCTAATTAGTGCCCTCGTTTTCCCATTTCCTTTTAGTGAAGGGAAGTAGGCCTTGTTGACCCAAATCCTACTTTCCTTCCCCACCACTTTGCCAGAAAACAAATCTTACAATTATTCCCTTAAATCATTTCCCAAGGTACATGGCATAAAAACAGAAATACGAGCATAACACTGAAGCACAGAAACAATGGTGAAGGAAGACTATGATGTAAATTTATTTAAACAGGAAAAAGGCATATCATTTGTAATTTGTACGTCCTGCCTTTGAGACCTGGATTTGGAGTTTTAGCTTATTTTCCTTTCTGGTAAGGTTGTGTTTTTGGTTTTTTTTGTTTGTTTGTTTTTTTTTAATCACCCCATCACCCCCCAGCTCTCACTTTAAAAGTTCCAGTGAAAACTTAATGTAGCTCTACTAGAAATTAGCATGGGGGCTGGAGTCAAAGACCTGAGTTTAAATTCTGTCTCTGGCACTAAGTGCCTTACCCATGTGACAAGTCACTTAACCATTCCAGGTCTCAGTGTCCTCATCTGGAAAAATGAAGTTGTACTAGGTCACCTTTGAGGTACCTTCCAGTTCTAGAACTATTACACCATTATCCTTTCTCCCTAACTACCTATGCAACTCTAATCCTAATCCACCAAGCCTCTGGCTTTAATTTTAACCACAGAAAAAGGTCCTAGCTAGTTACTTAATAAATGTTTGTTAAAAATGAATGAAGTAAGGGGCAGGTAGGTGGCGCAGTGGATAGAGCACCAGCCCTGAAGTCAAGAGGACCTGAGTTCAAATCTGGCCTCAGACCAAACACTTGACACTTACTAGCTGTGTGACCCTGGGCAAGTCACTTAACCTCAATTGCCTAACCAAAAAAGAAAAGAAAAAGAAAGAAATGAATGAAGTATAGCAAAAGAAGTCCTCATGAGGATGCTCAGGCCTGGATCCCATCATCTCTGGGTTACTGTTACAAATGATCACAGTGGAAAAGTACCTTTAAGGTCTTCTAACTTCCCCTTTCCTGACCCTTGGGATGACTCAAAGTTATGTTGGGATCATCTCTTTGAGAAGAATATTCTGCTGTCAGTACATAGCCTGACAAGCCCATGATCTTCATGAGAATGCCTTTTTCCTTCCATAAGTTTTCTCTTACTTTGTGGAATACCTTTTTTTAGTGAGCAGTATTTTTATCAAGAAGCTAGGTGGTACAGAGGATAGAGCACTGGGCCTGAAGACTCATCTTCCTAACTTCAAGTCTGACCTCAGACACTTACTAGTCGTGTGACCCTGGACAAGTCACTTACCCTGTTTGCCTCAGTTTCCTCATCTGTAAAATGATCTGGTGAAGGAAATGGTAAAGCACTCCAGTATCTTTGCCAAGAAAACCCCAAATGGGGTCACAAAGAATTGAACACGACTGAACAACAATTGTTCTCTACAGTGACTTTAAGTGTTGACTGGAGTTACAGTTGTCTCTTTATTCGGAATATTGTTACCTAATGTCCTTACTAAAGAAGAGTGATATTTGTTGATTGAGGGGAAGTGGGTTAACAGCTTCTGATCCTACCACACCCAATTTGTGAAAATTTTGAGTTTCCCAGTCGTTAAGTTTCAGTGGAATAGAAGGAAAGTTTCTGAAAGTGATGTTTGCTGTTCAGTCACAGGAAAAAAAAACCCCAAACCCAAACCAAAGTCAAATAAATGGGGGTGGAAAAGGTCATTCAATTGAAGGCCATGGAAGCCCTGGCCTATTCTTACCTGATGAGAATGATCACAGATGGAGTCTGAGCCATCGCTCCTATCATGCTGCAGACACACATCACACAGAGGAATGTAAGGAAGGCCTCTTGGCAACCAGGGCTGGGGCATTTCCCAGGAACTACTGTTGCATTTTCAGAGGGGACGGATGTGAGACAGGTACAGCCAGTGAGATTCTGAAAGGGAAGGGAAACATGCCCACGGTTTAAACTGGGGGTTTCGACTTTCCATATCAAAAGCCATCCATCAGGTGAAGCTGTCAACTCCTAATTATGCATTCTGTGGTGTTCCATTAATCAGGCCTAAATAAATTAGTTATCTTTTACCAAGAGCCTTCAAAACACATGCACAGACACAGGGATATTTATGGGGAGGAAAGCTTATTTTTTCTTCCCTCCTACACATTTCATTTTCTGTGTTTAAGTGCCCCTCAATAAATTGTAGTGCAGACAAATGGCCCCCAAATTAGAAGCTTTCCCATACAATAAACAAAAAAGAAATTGTATTTCCACATCGCGATAAAACACTGCCAAATTAATGTGATAATCATTTGCCAATTTGTCCTCTCTTCCATGCAGTCATAATCACACCAGGGTATACTAAAAGGGATAAATCTGTAGTCTGCACATTGTTCCTGGTTCATTGACTAATTTGGTACCTTGAACAAAAGGGATCATAATGCCATAAATGAAGTTACTGTCTTTTGCAAGCCAACTATCAAAGGGAAGGTCATAGAGACATTAGAGGTAAAGGGAAAAGTCCCCTGGTATATTTCAGGAAAATGAACGGATCTAAGGATGCTATCATATAGCTTGGAATAGATGTGAAGAATGAAGCTGTGGCCAAAAAAGAGAAGATTTATCAATATATGATCAGAAGAAATAAAAATGACTGCATTCTATTTTGAAGTCTTCGGGAGGATTCATGTCAAATTGCTTTTGTTTTCCAGTCACAGAGGCTTTTACTTACTCTCCTGGAATTTCTGATGGCTGAAGGTGGTGGGGGGCTGGAGTGGGGGTGGAAGTACAGAATGTCAGGCCAATTAAGGTATTGTAATAGTAGTACACAAACTGCTAACGAATGTAAAATGAAAACAATCATAAATGATTCATTAGTCATCTTAAGAAAGACTTGGCTTTCGGGTCACATCTATATACTACCCAGACTCACTTGAGGTTAAAAATATATTCCCCTGTGCTTTAAAAATCCTGTATTTTTGTCTTCTTTTTTCTTCACTGTTTTGCTTTCTAACTGCTCTCCCTTTCCAGCTGAAACTACATCTAGGGCTGTCTCCCTATTGATAGACAGAGCTGTCCCCATGCTATGACTGCAAGGGCCAGTGAAGATCTTCTCTTCTCCTCAAATGTTACCTTCACTAGATTCCAGGAAGCATGAGATTTCTTCACCAGGAGGAAGTCTTTCATTTTACATTTGAAGATAAAACTTAGGATGCAAGTATCCCTGGGAGAGGTACGCCATCAATATACCACAGGCTTGTGATTTAGTTGTTGTGGGAACTCAGTGAGGTTGAAACTCCTTCCATTAAAATAGATTGCAACTGTCTACAACTCAGCAGTTGTCTGTGAACTTGTTTTTATTTAAACAGCAACGCTTTGATAACTATATCTCAATGTAATTGCTATTCTTTGTAATCCTAGTATTTTATCTTATGCATTTAAAAACATTATTTTGAGAAGGGGTCTGTACACTGCACCAGACTAGCAAAGGAGTCCAAGACCCACCAAAAGGTTAAGAACCTTTGCCATAACCTGTAGTTTCAGAAAGTTGCCTGAGACTTAGAGAGATAAGTGATAAGAGCTATTAGTTAGGAGAGGTAACCTCTAACAAATATAGAGTAGAAGGCAATAGACTGATACCAGATCATTTCTTAAAAATAAAAGATTGAACTTGAGGAGGATGTCTTTGGTAAGATTCCCCCCCCCAATATTTCTCTTCTTGTGCATCAAAAGTATTTCTTCTTCACCTTTATTTCTTTCCTCCTTCTGAAAGTCTGAACTATGAGTCACAGAAAGAAAATTCTTTTCCTGAATGTGACTTGCCAACCTTCTGCCTCACCCTTAACTGGGTAAAATGGTCCCTGGAAAACAAGCCAATGTGCCTTTTAAGGGACTTGGGAATCTGTTTAACACTCTCTGGGTGCTCCTAAAGATACCCCCAGGTAAAATGTCAGCAAGCCTAATATTGTGGGAAGATTCGATTTAGAGTCCTGAGTTTACATTCATGCCTTAGAGCTCTGAGCTCAGTCATGAGACAGAACAGAAAAAAAAGTTGCACATTTTTAAAAACATTTTTGGAAAAATTGCTGGTTTCAAATGAAATGGTTAAGAAAGCAATGAAAGAATAAACATGAGTACTCTGAGAATTAAATTAAACTGAGAAACACTTTAATTCACAAACACACAGCAATGGTGATACAGTTAAAAAGAAGTTGGAATCCATGATAAATTGGGGTAAAAAACATAAACAAAAACAAAAACAAATCCCTTACTCCTTGGAATCTTTTGATTAATTTTCTATGGATAAATGAAAAAACATCAAACTGCTGTTATTTTGACAGCTCAAATGACAGAAGCAAAATACCATCCAAAAATGATTCAGAAACACTGGCAAATGAAGCTGCCTTATTTGTGTCTCCTTCCCCAACCTCACCCTCCTGTCTCTCTCTCTCTCTCTCTCTCTCTCTCTCTCTCTCTCTCTCTCACACACACACACTCACACACACACATACACACACACAAGCTCTCAACCAGTGCTGCACACCTTAATTCCTATTCATTTTACAAATGAAATTGATTTCCAGGTTAAAAAATGAATTTTCTCTGAGGATGAGTTTGTCGGGAAGGTATTATATAAACATAAAAACATTTTATAGAAATTTGAAACTGAAGGATTTTCTTTGTAAATTAAGGGTTTGCCTAAACTTTGGGATACTCATTTTCCTGACAATCTATTGAACATAAGAAAAAAATAACAATTTTTGTAGCATTTCTGGATATAGTCATGTATTTTAGAATGGAAATCAACCAAACCACCAATTTGGTACTAATTTCTGCTTTTAAGAGTCCTTCGATCTTTTGTGGCTGACCTCCTAATAATTGGTCTCACAATAAACCAATGATATCACCACAACAAACAGGGTTGCTTTTTTTTTTTTTTTTTTTACACTTTGGATGCCAACAATTAGGTCTTTGTGCCAGACATTCATGGATTCTTTCAGAATTCATTGTAGTACCTTTAGAATTCTATTGTAATTCATCATTGTCTTTTTGCAGCTTAGAATCTCAACTTTTGATTGGCGCAAGCCAGGCTGGTATTACTGTGCAAAGCCCTAAAATCTCATCACTAAGAGCTAGGTTGGCAACCCATATGCCTGAAGCCAAAGGGGAAATTGAAAACCTGCAAAAAGAAATACTGTCTCCATCTTCACTTGCAGGGTCACTGATTGAAGAATAATGGCTGGGGAGTGGGAGTGGGGCGGAGATGGTGACAATGAGGGAATCTTCCTGAAATGGTAGCAGAACCTTGACACACCTGTAACACTAATAACCCCAGATTCTGAGAGAGAATTTTGTCTTTGCAAAAAGAACAGAATCATGTGCTGCAGAAGGAGTAGAGAGAGAGGTTGTTGCTACTAGAAAGGCGAACTAATTACTTGTGGTAGCCACTCCATTTAGAAATAGGGGGTGGGGAAAGGATGGAGACACGAAATCAGCCATGTCCAAATGCAGCAGAGGCTAAAAGCATTTGGAGAGCCAACAGGACTTGGCAACAGAATATTAACAATGCCTTCTTGATCAGCTGGTACCTGGATGACCACAGACATCCAGCTTGGTCTGGCCATTTGGCTACAGGTCAGGGTCTATTATATGCCAAGGTATTCCAAAATGTCTTAATTGTTCTCTTTCTAAAGGATGCTGTAGCTTGATTAAAAAGAAAAAAAAAATCACACTAGAGAAAATGGATTCCAAACAAGTCACACCCCCATGAGATGACCCATTTCCAGAAATGTAAGCCAAACACTCCCTACCCCATCTTGATTCTCCTACACACTGCCATGTTGGATTTATGCTACTTTCCTACATACCACCAGTGGTTGGAATTATTTCTATTTTTTTTTGAAGGCAGTTATTTAGCACATCAGAAGGATATTTCTTCCAACAGGCAGTCAGCAGAGTGCTAACATGCTTACCGCTGGAATAATTACTTCTCAGAGTGAAATGTAAGGAAACAATCTGGACAGTAGATTAATGCCAAAGGAAATATACAAAAGTAACTTGCAGTCAGTTACACAGGCTCCCAGTCAAATGCAATGAGAGGTATTAAAAAATCTTTTATTAAATACAGTACAATTCCAGGAAACTTGGGATGACAAGTAGGAAAAACACATATGGGGTCCGAAATGAAGCCCAAACATAGGGTGTGAGGAAACCAGATGTTACTGGATGTAGAATCAGTCTCACACAGTGTCTTCCCCTAGCTGATCAAATTTTAAGTGGTTTTCACCAGTCTCAGTGGGTGAAAATGGTGCCTATGTGGAGGACTAGAAATCTGATTGTACTTAACAGTGAAATTTGCACATGTCCTAGCTAAATCCAGCTGCTTGTAATCACTCAAGGGAGCAGTGCTATTACCCATGGCCTATCTGGTTATAATCTGAAATTAGAACAAGAGATCTAACAAGACACTTGTTAGACATAGGATCCAGACACTGGGTGCTCAGACTCATTGGAGAGTGTATGGGGGTAATGCATGGAGACTTTTCTTTTTCTCAAAGATTGAAGTAGCAGGAGAAGATAAAACTAGAGGAAGACTGAAAATGAAACTGTAACAGTCACAACTGCAAGTGTTTATTCCCTAGGAATTAAATATTATGAGGCTGGCATTCAGGTCGCTCCCCTCCTTGCCAGAAACTGGGTGGGAGAAACGCATCCTAGTGGAGAAGTGGAGTTTTCCCCTCCTGTCTTGGAAGGTGAAGTTTCTTCTGCTTTACTGTGTGTTTTTACATTAATCTTCCCAGCCAGAATAAAATGTAGTGTATTTTTTTTAGAAAACTCAAGGAAAAAGCAGAATTTCTTTTGGGGTGGGGTAGGTGTGTGTGGAAATGAAAATTTAAGCGGTAAGCTGAGGAACAGAAATATATTACAGTCTCAGGAATCAAGAAGGGCAAAGCAGATCAGGGATAATTGGATTCTGCTGCTTTGCTGTTTCAGCAACTGAAAGCAACCACTGGACCCAGTTAAGTTTTTATTTAATAAGACTTTATGTATATGCAAGATCAGGGGAAGTACATTTTCTCAGACAATTTTTTGGTCACTGAATTTTCTGAAATAGACACTATTTTAGTCTCAGGACAGTAGCACATATTGAATCAATTTAATCCTTGCAACAGGACAATAACAAAGACTAATTTGCAACATAACTCTTCAGATATTAAAATGTTAATGAAATTGTTGTCACAGAAAATAATAACTGGTGTTTTCATTCTGCCTATTCCCAAAACCCAATCCTTTTTTTCCATTCATTTTTATCCACACAGAGAAATTGCTTTATAATCTTATTTGAAAAATAGCTTCCTCCCCACCCAAAATGATTTATCTTACTTTTTGAAAAATGGTAACAGCAGCAGTAAGCCAAGAATACAAACATTAAAGCAAGGAGAAACTTAATTTTTAGAAAATTAAGATGAATGATCCCTATTTTCTTTGTTTCTGACTAATGGCCACTTAGCATTACTGCTAGACTTTGCCTATATCCAAAGAGGATAGGTGACAAGATAGAAGGGGCAAGTGATTCAACAGTTAGTTTATTGAAAGGAAGAAATAGGTCTCCCTTTCTCCATTTTTATTGTCCTATATGGCTCAGTTCAGCCCTTATACACAGAGGCAAATGCTGTCAATGAAAAGTAGAAGAGAAATACAAGGAACAGGAGACAGAAAGAGATGGGGAATCCAGGAGCAAAGAAAAAAAAAAGGAAAGTCAGTGAGCACAAAGGTTGTTTTAGAAGACATGGCCCAAAATTCTTTCCCTTGGCTTTTGGTACAAAGCTTTCTTTGACTTGTACCTTGAATAATACTAGTGGCCATGGATCCTCTGGTTCACTAAAATCCTACTCTTAAGCCTCATCATGGTATGAGAATGAATATGTGTTCTTGAAGGTCATGAGGGTGGCGTATGGAAGCTTTGACACTTCTTACAACAAGCTGGAAACACTTCGAGTATGGGCCAATTGATAGACTGCTTCTGAGTCATCTGAAGATATGGACCAATCAGTAAATCAGTCAATAAACATTTATTAAGTGCCTACTATGTTCCAGGTATTGTGGACCAGCCCAAGTTAGGTTAAAGAGGCTCTTCATCAGAAGCTTAGCTCTTGAGCCAGGAATTTTCTCACCCAGAGCAACACATGAAGGCATCCATAAATGTGTACAAGGGTGATAATCAATGTGGATGGAGAGAACAGCCCAACCTTTGGAATAATTAATCCTTAGATTACTGAAATAATGTCAATGGAAGTTATTTTGGCATATCTAGAAGCCCAATTTGGTTCTGTGCAAGTCACTCAGTAAACAAACTTGAGTGACAAGTCTGTCCTTCCATCTACTAATAGAGTCTCCTAATCAAAGCAGGGATGAGATTGAGAAAAAGTTACATCACAGGAGAGGATAAAAAAGAGCCACTGATAACTACTGATTCCTTATTTCCTGTGGCAGTCAACCATCACCTTGGGTATAGGCTGCCGCTTAAGCTGCAGCTCTTAATCCACACTCCTTCACCCTATCCGGAGAATAAATAAGTCACAAATACCGTACTGTTGCATCCAGCAAAGCAAGCAGACAGGTAAGTGATGCCATCTGCCCCACAGACTGGCGTGAAAGAGTCGGTTTGGCATTCACAGTTATTATTGCAAGGAGAATAGGGATCCAAAGCTACACCAGGTGCTGAGCTGTAAGAGAAAATGCAAAATAACTCACATCAATAATTCATGTTTATATAATACTAATATTTACAAGACACTTTTCTTATAACAATGAGAAGGTGGGTGTTGCATTTTGGCTCAGAGAGGCTGAGTAATTTGCCCAGGATTACACAATTAATAAGAATTGGAACCAGTATCACAAATAGATGGAGGTATAATCACTTCAAATTGATTTAAAAAAATTTCAGCCTAACTACTTCCTTAATTTGATGCCACCCTACCTACCCTTCCAGTTTGATCTTCCAAGATTCCTTAAATACATAATCTAGGCAGCTTGGTCTCTTCTCTTTCTTTGCTCACTCCTAATGCTGTGTCTTGATTCATATTCGTTTCTCATGCAGGAAAGCCCTTTCCTTTCCCCCTGTACATCCAAATCCTATCAGTTTAAGGCTCAACTCACATCCTACTTTCTCCATAAAGAAGGCCTTCCCTAATTTGTTCAAGCTTAACTCATTTTTTCTGTCTCTGCCCTGCATAACTGTGCACCATACACTTGATTACTAGCTAGTTTGTACTGCTTCATTATGGTTTGGTGTGTTTTAACTTTGTTTCTCCAAGTGAGATAATAAGGTTATTGAGGAAAGGGACAAGGTCTTATACTACTGCTGTTATCCTCACATTGCCCAGGAAAGCAGTGAACACAAATGAATCTCAACAAGTACCTGATGACTGATCAACAATCCTCAATTTCCCTGGGATAAGTAATATTTTAAGATGCTTTTCACTTTTATTTATTTTTATTAAGAATTACAAGGTTGATGTCTTTCTTTCTACTAGTGAAAAGCAAATGAGAAGAGATAATAAGTTAGGAGGGGTTATTAAATGTTCCAAGTAGAAAAATCTCTCATCTCATCCTCCCCACTGCATTTCTTCTAGAAAAGATTAGGTGGCATTATTCCTACCTACAAGTCAGCTCTTTGAACTTGGGGGAATTCAAGACAGAGTCAATAATCCAAACTGAAGTTCTATGGTTTGATCTGTAAATACTGTTATACTGTTCTCCACCCCCCCCCAAAAAAGGACCAACTATAAAGCATACAAAGAAAATGTCACTTTGAACTTGTCACTCAGAAAAAATGGGGGAAAAGAAGGATAGAGTTCTTAAAGCTTCTGTAGAGGCAAACACACCTCTATTCTGTTCTGACAACCGATTATCTTTTGAAATAGCCATTGGTATGGCCAAGAATGTCTCATCTTGTAGCTTCACTCCTGGAACAAGATACCTTCTTTGGCTTTGGGGTTCCACATAAATGACCAAAGAAATAATCTATTCATTTGGTTTTGTTGAGATAATGGTGTTAATAACTTTTTTATATGTGTAGACTTTATGTCTTATCAAGTGTTTTCATGTCCAATATTTTATTTGATCCTTACAACCATCTTGGGAATGACCTTGAACAAATATGATTACTTCTGTTTTACTGATGAATAAATTGAGTCTCAGAAAGGTTAAGATGACTTGCCCAAGGTCACAAAGCTAGTAAGTCATGGGCTTGAATCCACGTATTCTGATTTCCTATTCAGCACTCTAAATATTTAAATAAACATCTAAATAGAGGAGTAAAAGGCCTATGATACTAAAGACTGGAATTGCTGACGTCTGGGCAAATTATATTGTGACCATAAGTCAGACAAAAGTTGAACTGAGGAAATCTGAGGAAAAAGCAGAGAAGAGAGTTCAGACGTGATTTTACACTGGGTATCTGCTGTGAACAGTTTGGCTGACAAGAACTTCTTACCTATTGGCTTAAAATTATCTGAAGAGAGCTGTATTTCTAGTGGATAGTGGAGAGAGCAGTGGATATCCCTCAAGATGTACCTTAACTGAAGGCTTTAGCTGAGGTTCAAAGCAGGATGAATGAGATGACTAAATAGAGCCATGTCCCTTTTCTGCTGGAAAGAGGCTTACAGATTTATAGCCCACATTACCTCCCTTCTCCCTTCTTCCCCCCTCCAAAGGTAGGTGGAGACAGTTGAAAGAGCTGGCTGACAGAGGAATAACCCACCCAACACAGCAGAGACTTAGATGGCCCTGAAGATAGATGGATAGATGCAGACCAGCTGGAGGGGATAAATGATGCCTGGTGAGGAGCAGTGGAGACCTGCCACCCAGTAGGGAGCCTTCCTAGAAGAGAGCAGCACAATGACATTGACAGCTCTGTGATATCAGTGGTATAATCTGTCCACATATATGTCCTGGCCACCCAGAGTCCCCACATATGTATATCCCGTGTGTTATCTTTATGTGTTTCCACTCTTCCCAGTGAATGGTTATGCAGTTGTAGGGAAGTGAGCTTCAGTTTAATCGTGGGAAAGTTCTATTGCTAATTTAATTACTATTAATTCATTACATCCTTTACTTGGAGTCAAATGTAATCTCTGGCTGATTAGTTAAAGCAAACACATTAGTAAGAGCTTGTGAATTATGGTTTGGAGAAGATTCTGATCCACAAAATAACTAGAACCTGAGATAGTTTTCTAGGGGGGATTCATGAGTAGGAAAGACCCCAAGTACTGCACATGGTAATGCCATTCCATGTATTTCCCTCTCACAGTGATTAGTCTAAAAGACTGTCCAAAGATTTAGGATGATGAGAAGAAAGTTGAAAAGGAAAACCATTAAGAAATGAAGACATTGCTTTATAAATGATGGGACTGCGGATTGAGAGCTGGAAGTGGTCTCTGAGGCCATCTAGTTCAATGCCCTTATTTTACAGATTTATAAACTCACAGTGGAAACTGAGGTCCAGGAAGGTTAAGTGACATGCCCAAGGTCACCCAGGTAGTGTCAGGAGTATTGACAATTTCCAGTATTTTTCAGGATTTGGTGCAATCTGTGCTGTCAGCCTTGAAGGTAATAATAAACTACAATATAAGAAAAATATCCTAGGGTATGAAAGACTTGCTTGTTCCATGGAGATATTTAGAAGAGGTATTGGTGGCACAGTGGATAGTGCCCTGGGCTTGCAGTTAGGAAGAGTCAAGTTCAAATCTTGCTTCAAATACTTACTTGTTGTGTCACCCTGGGCAAATCAGTGAACTGCTCTCAGTCTTAGTTTCCTGACATGTCATAGGAGGGGTGTTGGACTTAAAGACCTCTAAAGCCCCTTCCAGCTCTAAATCTATGATCCTGTGAAACTATGCGCCCTCTTCACGCTCACACTCACAGAAGGAGACACAGCTTCTTCTCTGCTGCGCCGTTAATGGAAACATAGATGGTGTACACAAGCCAGGGCAGTGAGTTCCACTGTCATGAGAGGGGGAAGAGGCATACCAAACATTGCCCCATTGCTCCACCTGTAATACCTGCAACTTCTTTGACAAATCAATCTCCCCTGGCCACCATTCCCTTCTATGTGTTGTCTCTATTAGAAGGTAATCACCTTGAAGGCAGGGACTGTCCTACTTTTGTATTTATACTTCTAGCACAGAGCCCAGCATACAGTGCTTAATTGATGCTTTTTCATTCATTCCTTCATTGCTTCATTCATTCTTTCATACCTGTTCAATTTCTTCTAGTACTTACTCATTTCCATAGGGAACAGTAACCCCAGCCACAGGACCTGTGTCACACCCCAGGAAGAGGAAGGAAACATAACAAGCTGTAGACACCAGGTTAACTAGCATGGCCATCCGAATGGCTCCCAGAGCGGACAGGCTGAGCTTCTTTACAAGAAGACCTCCTAGAAATATACCCAGACATGCACATGGGATAGCAGTCATCCCTAGAATAGAGCGGAAGAAAGAGATTAGAAATAGGAATGGTGTCAGTCTAGAAGAGCAAGGACTAGGGATATAAATGCTCAAACTAAAAACATATCCATATAAAAACCAGCAAGCATTCAATAATAATTTCAATGACTGATCTTGTGTCATCATTCTTAACATTTGAACACACTTTTTAGAGCTTCCACGTTTATATGGCACTAGACTGGGTGCCATGATCACCCAGACAAATCTGATGCTGAGAATAATGGAGACCACATGGCAAATGAATACTGAGCAACTGAGCAAATGAAAAAATAGTGTATAAGTGAAAGGATAAGAATATGTCATGGGGTGATAAAGGCTCACAGTGCTTATATATTTGGATTATATGGATCATGGGAGCATAGATTTAGAGTTGAAGGGACCTTGGAAGCCATCAAGTCTAACCCTCTTCTTCTACAGATATGGAAAATGAGACACAGAGATGTTAAGTGATGAATCTAGTATTAAAAAGCTAGAAAGTATCTGATGTGGGATTTAAATTTAGAGGCAGTGTTCTACCCACTCTGTCATGTTGCCTCGTGCATGGGGGCCAACTTGAATTTGTTATCTCTCTTCCAATTTATCAGGAAGAATGACTTTTCAGTTTCCTATACAGCCTAAGGTACCACCCACAAAAAGAGTGGTTTATACCATATGACAGTCTTGCCAAGATGATAGACAATTTGACAGCTTATAGAGTTTAAAAAAAATCAACTCTTCCTTAAGGTCAAATGAAAAAAAAAATGGTTCATATGTCATAGCCACCCACTTGCTCCAGGCAAGTTACTTTTTGTAAAGATTGGGAGGGCAGCACTTGGGATGGCAGCATGGTGCAGGGCAGATCTGGGGGCAGAGGATTCAAGTGTAAATCCTTGTTCTGTCACTCACTATCTGAGTGACCTTGGTCAAATCATATGACCTTTCTGGGGCTTGGTTTCCTTATCTATAAAACGAAGGCGTTGGACCAGGTGATCTCTGCAGTCTTTTCCAACTCTAAATTCATGATTTTACAAACACTATAAATACATGATTATAATCATTTGTATTTGACTTTATTCTGTTTTGCATCACCTTATTTTTATATAAAAGTCACCTGTAGATTATCAATATTGCTTAGGGTCAATTTGTAACAAATTGACCCTAGGATGGCTTCACCTTGTGTACTAGCATACCCCTAGAGCCACTTTCCACATTAACTGGCTGGTGTATATACTAGAGGAATGTATATTAGTTTCAATATCAAATCAAATATCACATAAGTAGGTAGGCAGAAATAATATAATGCTAGCTAATACCATAATAATTATATTTTGGACTCCTTTTGTGTGATATGGCCAAGATTCATGCAGAATGGGCATCCATGGATGGGTTTGTGATCTGTATCATTGGAGGATTGGAAGGAGTACCTATATTAATGAGGTCACAGAATATTGGAATAGTTTTATTGACAAATGTCAAACATTTTCAGATTCTCCACTATTGTGGACTATTTATATCATAATTTTCCCACCATAACTTCTTAGCACAGATACGATGAGCTGACCCTACTTGCATGAATGAAAGATACTCTTTTTTTTTTTTGGTTGGGCAATGGAGTTAAGTGACTTGCCCAGGGTCACACAGCTAGTAAGTGTTATGTATCTGAGGCTAGATTTGAACTCAGGTCCTCCTGAATCTAGTGCTGGTGCTCTACCCACTGCACCACGTAGCTGCCCAGAAAAATACTCTTGAAGATCAGGACTGAGATCTGTTTATCTTCCTTTCAATAGTACCTAGCACAGCACCAAAGCCCTCTGGGCACTTAGAAGGTATTATTTAGTGACTCTGCCAATACCACTTAACGTCCTCTTCCCTCTGAGCCACCGTAAACAATTACTCCCTCTCCTTGAAGCGTATTGCTCCTTAATACTTGTGGACAGTTATCATAACTTTCCTCCCAACTCTCTCCTCATTAAGTTAACCTATGCAGATTTAGTCCTTTTAATCTTCTCTCATAAATCAGTCCTGCCAGGCCCTTAATCATTTTTGATGTTGTGCTCTGAACTCTGTCCAATTTGTTGATGGCTCTGTGGTATTGCCCAGAGCTGGGCACTGCTGCTTCGGGAAGATTGAATAGGTTGTCTCCCAGGTCCATGAGAGCTATGAATAGAATATACTCCCATTGGAGCTTCACCTTATACTTATGATTCCCTTTCTTTGTGCCCATAACCATTGCCAGCCTACTCTGGTACCCTTTCTCTTGTGTTTTTTAATCCAGATGGCATGATGCCACTAAGTTGATCACAGTAAAAAAAAGAATTTATGAGGATCCTTTAAATGGCAGTCACATTCTTGGGCTGCTGAAAGAATTAGGATTCTTGGAATACATCCCTATGGGCTAAAATAATTACCTTTGATAGTATTCTGATCATTGAAACTAGTAGTGGGAAGAACAGGTGTTACACAGGCTCAAGGACTTGAGATTCTTCTTTTGACCTTTCCTCCAGAACTCTAATGACTGATTTGGTAACAGAAGAGCAGGGACCTATCATGAAGCTACACGCAGCCTGAAGTGGAAGTACCCCTTTCAAAGCAAGAAGAATTCAAAGAAAGGAAGAGAAAAGATCAGGAGGTGATGTACCATGTCTTCCTCTGTGCCTGGGGGCTCAAGTCTAACAATGTGAAGACAGAGTGTTAGAAAACTCAACATTAAAGGAAAAGACACATTCCGCTTTCTCAGACAGAAAAGGGCTGTGTTTTGTGATTGCCTCTTTGAAGTGAGAGCCTCTTTAATTTGCCTTTGGTTCCCAGTGCATGAGGTTTATAAACATTCTGTGCAATGTTCTTAGACTCTTTTTGGTTTATTGTGGTACAGATTGTTGAGGAAAAGAAAAGGAACTCTGCTGAGAGCTGAGTCAAAATATTCTCTTAAAAATAGACGGGTATGAAGTCCTGACCTTTTCCAAACCCTCTATAATCTTGCTCTATATTAGTCATCAGTTCTATTTTCTACTGTTCTTCACAATGGACAGTTTTTTCACTGTCCTCCGCACGAGTCATGTTCCTTCCTGCCTTTGGGGTTTTACCAGAGTTGGTAGGTATCCCTAACTGGGATGCCCTTCCCCTTCATCTCTGCCTGTCCAAATTTGTCCTTGCCTTCAAGACCCAACTGACGCCCCACTTTCCCCACGAAGTCTGCCCTGACTGTTCCAGTTCACTCTGATCTCTACTATTCCTGAAACTCCTGTTTCCCAGTAGCACTTAATTTTTTTATGTTACCTTTCACTTCTTGATTATTCACTATCTTGTAAGGCTAGGATACGGATAGGGACTAGACATGTGATTTCATGGATATAGGGGACTCCTAGGCAATGAAAGTCGCTCAACCAATGTATGTAGGCACCTTCTCTGAGACTTATAGCCTTAGGGAGGAGCCTAGAGCTGAGAAGTCAAAGACATGGAGCACAGACCTCATGTAGCCACAACATTCTAGGGTGCCCCTCAACCAGATTAATGCAATTGGGCAATATTGAACAAAATGAATGAAAATACAATAAAACATATATAATATTACATTTAAAAACTACATCAACATACAGACCAAAGGGATCCTTATGTACAGATTAGTGGCCCCCATTTATAGTTGAATTTGACACCATTGGCCTAGAGCACTGAGAAGGTAAGTGACTTCTCCAGGGTGACAACAACAGTGTGGATTAGAAAGGAGATTTAAACTCCAGTTTTCCTGACTTCAGGTCAGCTCTCAGTCTACTATCCCACAGATGAAGCCAGGTGGTGCAGTGGATAGGGCCTTGGCCTGGAGTCACAAAGACCTGAGTTCAAATCTGGCCTCAGACTCTTTCTAGCACGTGATCCTGGGCAAGTTATTTAAGTTCTGTTTGCCTCAGTTTCCTCACCTATAAAATGGAGATAATAATAACACCTACCTCCTAGGATTGTTGTGAGGAACAAGTGAGGTAATACTCATAAAGGCTTAGCACAGTGTCTTGCCCATTGTAGGGGCGATATGCATATTAGCTATTACTATTAGATCATTCTGTAATTGCTTCAGGTGCATAAGTCCTATCTCAAGAATAAACTTTTGAAACTATTTAAAGGGGCAGGAATGTAAGCTCTTTGAGGACAGGGGCTGTTTTCATTTTTATCCTTGTGTCCCCATGTCTAACAAAGTGCTTTTAAGGCATTTAAAATATTTATTGAATTAAATTGCATTATATATTACATATATTCTCCTTTGCCACCAATATTGAGCAAAGTGTTTAAAACACAGTAGGCATTGTTAAACTTGTTGGATGGAATTGTCAAAGAATTCTCTTCTCCTCCTGCTTACTGTGGCTCCTCCCCCGTGGAGGACTAAATAAACAGCCATCCTGGCTTTAGGATGGGAGGGCCACTCACCCAGCAGCTGGTTGGCTGATGAAGTTGTGAGGTTAAACTGCTGTTCCAAGTACTTTCCCAGGAAGGCAGCAAAGCCAGCCACCACTGCAATCTCCATACAGGCTGCCAGGACGATGCAGGTGAACACAGGGTTAGACAACAGATGCTTTGTCACTTTAGGAATCACTGCAAGGAATATCAGAGCAAAGAGTAATCATTAGCCAACTAGCACTGATTTATTTATTTATTTATTTTTTATCATGCTTCTTATTCCTATCATAGCTTATTGACAGTGACTGATAACTCAAGTGGATCTTGGATCTGATTCATGCCAACCCTTATGGGAAAAACCACAAGAAAAAAACAACACACCACAACATGAACAAAAACTGCTGGGAAAACTGAAAAAGAGTATGGCAGAAACTAGGCATAGACAAAAATCTCACACCATATACCAAAATAAAGTCAAAATGGGTTCATGAACAGATATAAAGGCTGATACTATAGGCAAACTGGGAGAGCAAGGAATAGTTTACCTATCAGATCTATGGAGAACAGAAGAATTCATGACCAAACAGGAGATAGAGAACATTACAAAAAGCAAAATGGATAATTATGATTACATTAAATTGGAAAGTTTTTGCACAAACAAAGCCAATGCAACTAAGATTAGAAGGAAGGTAGAAAATTGGGAAAGGATTTTTACAACCAGTCTCTGATAAGGTCTTCATTTCTAAAATATAAAGAGAATTAATTCAAATTTATAAGAATACAAGCCATTCCCCAATTGATAAATGATCAAAAGATATGAACATACAGTTCTTAGACGAAGAAATTAAAGCCATCTATAGTCATATAAAAAATGCTTTAAATCACTATTGATTAGAGAAATGCAAATCAAAATGACTCTGAGGTACCACATCACACCTATCAGATTGGCCAACATGACAAAACAGGAAAATGATAAATGTTGGAGAAGATGTGGGAAAATTGGAACACTGATGCATTGTTGGTGGAGTTGTGAAATGATCCAACCATTTTGGAGAGCAATATGGAACTATGTCTAAAGAGCTATAAAAATGTGCATACCCTTTTACCCAGCAATAGTACTTCTAGGGCTATATCCCAAAGAGATCATACAAATGGGAAAAGGACCCACATGTACAAAAATATTCATAGCAGCTTTTTTTTTGTGGTGGCAAAGAATTTGAAATTGAGAGGATGCCCATCAATTGGGGAATGGCTGAGCAAGTTGTGGTATATGAATGTGATGGAATACTATTGTGCTGTAAGAAATGATGAACAGGTTGACTTCAGAAAAATCTGGAAAGACTTGTATGGTCTGATGCTGAGTGAAGTGAGTACAACCAAGAGAATGTTGTACATAATAACAGCCATGTTGTGTGATGACTAATATTGATAAACTTAACCCTTCCTGGCAATACAAGGATCTAAGACATCTCCAGAGGCCTTGTGATGGAAAATGCTATCCACATTCAAAGAAAGAACTATGGAAGTTGAATTGCTATTTTTTTTCCTTCTGTTGAGTTTTGTTTCCTCTTTCTGATGGTTCCTTCTATAGGTTTTTATTTTCACTTACATCACTAATGTGAAAATACAAAAAAAAAAGCCACACCATTTTTTTTCCCCTGAGCTCCCACCAGTGGTCAGGATGGGGGTTTATTGTTAAAGTCAGCTAAAACACTCTGGAAACGTGATTGAAATGGGAGAAAAATGTGTTTTTGTCTGTGGCATACTATCCTGGGATCTGCTGTTGGGTTTTTGAGGTCTGAAAATAAGCCACTGAGGAATCCTTTGTGGGGGCCAAGAGATGGGGCAACCAAGAAACTAGTAGGCTCATTAAACTTCTTTTCAAGACCCGAGGGAGGAGAAACTGCACTTTTAATATGAGAAAACACCTGATATTGCTGAAGACATCAACCGCTAGGCTGTCTAATGAAATACTGACAAATGGTCCACAGCAGAACATTTCTCTGTGGCTGGGCCTGGAGGATGGAAATTAGAAAGTGCTATCCCTGTCAGCCAGCAGAAGGGGAGTGAGCAGATGACAGATACCCTGTCCTTCCTGCTGCCTCTCTCTGGCTCTATGTTCACCTATCATCTGGTCAGTTGGTTTATTCCTGAGAGTGTCTGAGTGGCAGGCAGAATAGTAGTGTGGAAAGAACTCTATTGTCTTGGAGTCCAGATATCCCAATCACTAGCAATGTGACTATGGGAAAGTCATTTAACCTCTCTGAGCTTCAGTTTCCTTGTGTGAAAAGTAGGGATAAAAATATTTATATAATCCACCTTACAGGATAGTCATGAGGGAAGTGTTTCATGAGCCTTACAGAACTATACTAATGCAAGCTCTTTGTTACTGTTTATCACTCTCAGTCTCAGCTGTTCCTGGATGTAATGAAAAGAGAACATTGTTGTCTTCAGATTGTGAGGCACATTCATCTGAATACATTCCACGGTAGCAAATCTTTGTCTTTCGAGGATGGATTTAATTTATGGAAATATCCAAAAGTAATTTGGAGACAAAGTCTGGTAAAATGAGGTAGATAATAAATGATAAATCTACCTCATTTTACCAGACTTTGTCTCCAAAGTGGCATTGACAATTTTGCTAAGCAACCAGATGTGACTATGAGGTGATGAGATTGCAAAGGAAAGGAAGCTAGACTGGGAGTTAGGATGCCTGTTTCATCAATAACAAGCTGTATGACCTTGGCCAAATCACTGGATTTCTCCGAGGCTCTTTTCAGCTATTCTATTTGGTCCTGGAGAGAAGAACTAGGAGTAATGAGAGAAAGTTACAGGGAGGCATATTTTGACTTAATATTAGGAAAATTTTCCTAATAAGAATTGTCTGACAATGGAACGAACTGCTTTGGGAAATAATGATTTTTTTTTTCCTAGAGATATTCAAAGCGAGTCTGGACAACTGATAGTCCAGGATGTCATAGACAGAATTCATGTATTGGTTAAGGATTGGACAAAATAATCTTTGAGTTTCCTTTTGACTCTGAGATTATATGATTCCTCATCTGTGAAATGAGCAGTTTGGACAAGATGAGAGGCAGCATGGTCTAGGGGAAAAAGTACTTGATTTGGAGTCAAATCCTGGCTTTGCCTCATAATACTTTTGTGACATTCAGCAAGTCACTTAGCCTCTGGGTCTCAGCTTTCTCATCTGTAAAATGAGGAGACTAGATTAAACCTTGAGGCCCTCTTTGGCTCTAAATTTTGGATCCTATAATTTCTAAGGTACGTCATGACAGCTGACATTTAGATAGAACTTCAGGGTTTACAAAAAGGTTCACAGATATATTGACTTAAGCCTCACAATAGTTGTGTGAAATAGGTATTCTAGGTATCAGTATACCCATTTTAGAGATTAGGAAATTGAGGCATAGAGAAATTGTTCATAGTCACACAATGAGTAAATGTCAGAGGTGGGATTTAAAACACAGGTCTCACCTAACTCAGAGTACAGAACTCTATTGTTTCTACACTACTCAAGTTTTCTTATCTGACTTATAAACTGTCCCTGTAAATTTGTTAACTCCCAGAGAGGAGTTCCACAATGTTTTAAGCATCATCAGAATGTGCGTAGACAATCATAGCTTAATAGAATCATAGCTTATGAGCTAGAAGTGACCTCAGAGGCTATCCTCATGTTGCAGATTAGGAAACTGAGGCCAGTTCAGAGGTCAGTAACTTGCCCAGTATACACAGGCAGCAAGGCTAGAATTTGAACCAAGGACTCCCAGATCCAAACCCAGCACTCTTCATATGATCTTCTTAAAGACAACACTGGATTTGAGTATAAAAAGCCCTAATATTTAAAAAACATCATTTAGAGTCTTCCTTTGTAAACTGTTTCTTATTACAAAAATGTTAACTGTGGGTTCCACTTGTTTGTTTGCTCATCCACTGGAATTCTGACGATCAGTCTGACAGCCCAGCTCACAACTCTGAGTCCCCACTGAGATGAACGACGCTCTGTCTTCCCAGGCTGGGGCAGGACCCTAGCCTCTCTGACCAGGAGTCGTGTTTCGGACGTGGAAACGGCCCTACGGAGCACAACCAGATTTCCACCTCTTTGTTTCAGTGCAAGTAACCCTTTGTTCTTTGACTAAAGACAGCAAGATTAGGGATTGGGGGGGAGAGGGAAACTAGCTTTAAAAGAGGAAAAACTGGTTAATGTATGAAATGTTATATTTTTCTACTTCAGCAAGCATTTTAATTATGCCAGAGATAGGTCCACTTCAGCAGGAAGGATTCCTCACCAAGGCAGGAGCCTGCCTGCTTTTGTCTTAATACCTGGTGACTAATTTCTCACTGAATTAGACGTGAAAATCATTAAACTTGAGAATCATCTCATGGAAGGGTGGAGGGAAGCCTCACTGGGCCTTGTTTGCATTGAAATTTTTTTTTCTTTTCTATTAAGCATATGACAGATTGCTCAGGTTCTTGCCTCTGTTTTCCTCCCAGACTTCTCTTTTCTTTTCCATGTTTAATTGCACTAACTTACAGCACTCTTAATAGACAATGCTTTTTAAAAGGCTCAGTCTGGCCTCTCTTGGTCCTATTTGAAAGGGGTTGTAATTATCTTGATCCTAAGGCTATCCCAATGTTTCCAGCTCTTTCATCCAAAAGGACTTTCAAAGCTCATAAAATTCTGATTTCCTAAGGATATAGAAGGCATAATGAGGCAACAGAATATAGAGTGGCCTAGAGAAACAGTTTCAGCGCAAGCAACCTCCTTCCAGGACTTGTGACCACCTGCTGCCTTTCTCAGCCATACCTCCTGCCTACTGATTCACACTTAGAAGTTGAGGAGTGGAGGACCCTGGAGGGAGGAAGGGAAAAGGATCAATTTGAATTTAGCAGTCAGTCAGCCAGTCAGCCAGCCAAGCCCAGAAAAAGGTTTTTAAAATATGCTCTTAAGCAACATACAACCACAGCACCAGCTGGGCAGCCTTGCTGAGACTGAGTGGCATAAGGTAGATGAAAATAGGAAAGAAAGGCTGAAATGGCTTTAGGGAAAATGATTAACCACAACAATAACAACCACCACCATTCACTCTCCACCTCAGACATTTTAAAAAGTATAGCTTCTAAAACAATTTTGCATTTGCAGTCTTAATTGAGGTTGGGGGCTATTCTAAATGTAT